AAGCGTATCTTAATTTGAATTTAATTGTCTGAATGTGTCTTAAATGGGTTTAAAAGTTTGCGACTAAACTACAGTCCACTTATTATTTGGCTGCAAATTGTATAACTCATAAACATATCAAACATTTTAAATACTTTACTATAAGAAATATTTTCCGGATAATTAATTAATTTATTGATTAGGAAGTACCATGGTCAACTTGGCAGCACCTGAACCCGGCAATCATACAGAGGACTAAAGAGTGGTGAGTAGGGTTGTTAAATTATAATAATTTATATTTTTCCCAAAATAAATTATATAAATTATATAAATTTCATATAATTTATGAAATTTATATTTTATAATTGAAAATATACCAAATTTACAATATAGTAAATGGATATAATTTATTTAATTTTAATTAGATTTAATTAATTATAATCGTAAAATTTAATTATTCAAACATTATAATGCCAACTTCAACTAATTTTTAAACTATTCATGTTATTTATACAAATATTTTAAATATATAGCTTGATAATGCTATTTTTCAAAATATAATTAATATAATTTATGTATAAATTATATAATTTATACTGTTTTCAACCCTATCAATAAGTAACTAACCTAGTAGTAATTAAATATAAATTATTGTAATAACAAAATATAATATTTTATCAAATAAGCATTAATACAAATTAGATCAAAATGAATTTTGAATTTAAAAATAATTTTTGATCAATACTTCTAAACTTTGCTTAATAGTATCTGGATTAACTAACATGATAATTACATAATTAAATAGTCAAATTTAATTGCCATTGTTTTATAATATAAAACTTATATTTGTATTTATATAAGGCGCTAGAAATCACTGTAATCGCTGTTGGCATCAAGGTGCAAATATTGATTTATGATATTAAGGAGTTTTATGAAAATACAAATAAAAGCATTTGGTTTATGATGTTAGCCGGTGTCACGTGTCTTATAATTGTAATGGAAAGTTGTGTTTGTTTTTGCGGTGAGAAGGCAAGGTTTAAAAATGTGCAAGGTAAATTAACACCGGTATGTAAGAATTGATTTTTATTTTAGTTCATAATTGTGCCAGTTTGGTATTTTGTCTTTTACAGTACGCAATAGTATATAGCACGCTTATATTTATCATGTGTTTCTTCGCTAATTACGCACGACAAAGTTATTCAAGTGTACTGTATCATTTTTCCTAATATATAAATATCGATATATAAAAGTTCCAAATTAGTCTTATACCCATATGCATATGATCGTCTCCGTGCATAAAACCGGTATGTATTTTTCGATACAAATTGTAAACATAATTATAATATTATTAGTATATCACATATTCATGTATACTATCAATACTATGGTTTGGTTACCAATACTTAACGGTTTTATGCACGGAGACGATCATATGTGCTTAATACAATGTTTTGTTTTGGTAATATTTAATTGATGTATAATAGACTAAATATATTTATTGACTTAAATTAAGTCATTTAATAATATAAACAAGGTTACTTTGGGACACAATTATACAATTTTAATTTCAATATTTAAAATTTAAATTTATTTTCAAATAGTTCTTCGACGGATATTTTAACTCAACAGATAAAAGGTTTTTCATATTAAACGACATATCTAAAGACTACCAGGCTCAAAAAATTCAATCCGAATTCAAATGTTGTGGCTACTATTTTTCAGGCGATTTTATATTGGAGAATTTTACAAACTACCCTGCTTCATGCTGTGATCAATGGACCACTAATGATTCGGCTGAGAAAATGTGCAATGACCCAGGTGACTTAATCTATACAGAGGGCTGCATATTCGAAATCAAAAGGAGCCTTACCAAGTATCTTTTGGCACAAGTTGTTAGCGGCTTCATTTTGATGGCAATCGAAAGTATGATTATAATGGGCGGATTCGGTTGGTTAAGATGCGGATTTATATCATGGCCACAAGTTCGGACAATTAGCAACTGGATTTGTTTTGCAAATCGAAATCGTCATATGGATGACAATGACGAGGAAATATCGCACGATATGGCGGGTCTTAACCCCGACATTATGAATGATGAACAAGGTAAATACATTACAAATTTTACGGAGGTTGGCCTAATTGGGAAAGGTGGTTTTGGCGAGGTATTTAAAATTCAACATATTACTTCATCGGGTTTCTATGCCATTAAGAAAGTTAAATTTACAGGTTTAGCAATTGTAGAATAAAGTATGAGAATGCTCTATATTATATTTTATAATTGTGTGCTAGATGAAAATAATCGAGAACGGAGGAATATATTTATTGAGGTTCAAAATCTGATAAAAGTTCAGTCAGAGTATGTGGTCCGGGTGTTTGACGCATGGAAAGAGTCCGACTATCTATACATTCAGATGGAGTTGTGTTCCGACAGTCTCTACAATATTCTTCAAATTAAACGCAATTTTTTTTCCCGAAAATACGATAAACCGATGAATCGATTCGAGTATTTAATTTCGTGCGAAATATTTCGTCAGATCTTGGAATGCGTTCAATATCTACACGAATTGAGTCCTCAGATCATTCACCGGGATCTCAAGCCTGAGAATATTCTCATCGCCGGAAATGCCAGAAATGGACGATTTATTAAGCTAGGTGACTTTGGGTTGGCCACTGTTCATGATAAGCTGGTTAACTACGTAAGCCAAAATCGACATAGATGTGTGGGCGATATTAGATATATGGCACCTGAAGTAAAGGAAAAGCATAACTACGGCCATAAAATCGATATTTATAGTCTGGGTAAAATTGGCAGCGAGATATTCAATATAGATCAGTTTCTTAACGTTGACGTATCAATGTGAGTTTTAGAAAAGCATTTATTGTATTTTAATTTATAGTTAAATAATATTTTCAATTTTTAGCATACTGAAAAAATATTCATGGAAAAATAATATTATTACTGAGCCGGCAACAATTTTATTTCCTATACTAAAGTCAATGATGTCGTACCCCGGGATCCAAATGAGGCCTGAATGCAGCGAAATATTGTCGCAATTTGATAAATGGTCTATTAATACGAATAATTTTACCAGGGACCAAGAGTTTTTATTAACTCTATACAGGCTTGAAAATTATGAGAACCAATTATTCTATAAGCTATTTACTTTATTGGTTAATATAAACTAATTACCAAAGTAAGTTATATATTAGATATAAAACTTTAATTGAATGAATTTAATAAAGATTAATTTGGTTGTGGGATATTATACATAAAGTGTATTGCTAATATACTAGTTTGTTCATTATTAATATTTTGACGATTTTAAAATAAAAATTTTTTTAACATTATAATTATATAAATAAATATAAATTATTTGTGACAAAATTATGATAATTAAAATTTTAATGACATTGTTGTTATGTATTAAATAAAAGGGTGATAATTATTTTAAATAATACTTTCACTACTTTCTGTCTGTTAACCTTTATATCAGATATCGATACGGTCATGACAAAAAGTGAAACGTATATAGCAATTTTAGTGACATTTTTGTTATGTATCAAATAAAAGATGGAATTAATTGTTGAGTAGGGAACATCGATGCACGAATCTCGATTGAGTGGTTCTAATTGTTATGATTAGTTAGCCAGTAACATAATAAACATTTTGAATTGATTAAACTTGGCGAATCAAGTAAATTAACTTGCTAAATTTACGTTTAAC